GTTCAACATGTAAGAAGTAGAAAGTACAGGTATTTGTGTTCAACATGTAAGAAGTAGAAAGTACAGGTATTTGTGTTCAACATGTAAGAAGTAGAAAGTACAGGTATTTGAGTTCAACATGTAAGAAGTAGAAAGTACAGGTATTTGAGTTCAACATGTAAGAAGTAGAAAGTACAGGTATTTGAGTTCAACATGTAAGAAGTAGAAAGTACAGGTATTTGTGTTCAACATGTAAGAAGTAGAAAGTACAAATATTTGTGTTCAACATGTAAGAAGTAGAAAGTACAGATATTTGGGTTCAACATGTAAGAAGTAGAAAGTAGGTACAGGTATTTGGGTTCAACATGTAAGAAGTAAAAGTAAAAAGTCGTCAGAAAAATAATTAGTGGAGTAAAGTACTGATACCAGAAACANNNNGTTCAACATGTAAGAAGTAGAAAGTACAGGTATTTGTGTTCAACATGTAAGAAGTAGAAAGTACAGGTATTTGAGTTCAACATGTAAGAAGTAGAAAGTACAGGTATTTGAGTTCAACATGTAAGAAGTAAAAGTAAAAAGTCGTCAGAAAAATAATTAGTGGAGTAAAGTACTGATACCAGAAACATGTACTTAATTACAGTAACAAAGTATTTGTACTCCACTACTTCCCACCTCTGCTTTTAAGACACAGAAGCTTCATACATTCACCAATGAGGGATTTACTGAGGTATTTTATGTTTCAGAACAAAAAGTGAAAATACCTTCAGCTTGTGTTAACAACATAGCTTGTAATATTAGACATTTAACCACAAACCGTTTTAAAAAACTGTTGACTTCAAGACAAGTGTTGTCTTGTTTTGCATTGTTGGAGAAGCCTGTGACCTAAGATTTTCAACGACATAATGACTCTGTAGCTATGTTAAAGAACCTTGAACCTTGAACAAGGGATCCAAAAGTGTTGAAATGCTAACTCATTTTCAGTTTTAGGACTAGTTCCCCTGTATTTACAGTTCAAGTGTTTGACTGAGGATTGATTTGCAGACAGCCGGATTGTATCCTCTAAAGACAGTTGTCAGCTGCGTTGTTAGTTTATAATCCGGCTTTTCCAGTTGACGAGTACGTGTATCCTTCTTGGTATCAAACAGTATGAATCTGATAAGAGGACTGGTATTAGTGTTTCTAAAGACACTTCTAATGCCTGCTTTGTTCTCCCTCTTTGTCCTCAGTGCTTCGAGGAAGAGGAAAGATGAGCCTGCCGATGCCAATTTAAAAAAACAAAAAACAAACAAAAAGACGTCTGTCAGCCGACTCTCTGTGCCTGCTGCAGCTCAGCATCCCACACACACCTTGCCCTTCAACTGTACATGTATTTAGCAAAAGTGTGTGTGTGTGTGTGTGTGTGTGTGTGTGTGTGTGTGTGTGTGTGTGTGTGTGTGTGTGTGTGATTTTTTTTCTTCTTGAGATGCTGAAAAATGTGTCACTGATCTGAACATGGATCTTAAAGTGAGTAACGCTATGGAAACTGTATATTTGTCTTTCCCTACTGTATAACACTCCGAGAGACACTTTGTTATAATCTTTTAAACCAGAAAATTGTAAAAAAAAAAAAGTGCCATGGATTTTCATACAGCCACATTTTTACTGTTTCTTAATTCAAGTGAATCTTATTTATACATCCCAATATTGAAATCACAATTTTGCCGTTAGGGGCTTTCCAATCTGTACATCTCCCACAAAGTGTCTTCCTTACTGCGTACTGTGTTATATGCAAACCCCTTCTTTCTTTATTCCTGTGTATGTTTCCCTTTTGTATTTCCTCTTAAAGGTCGTCTTTTATATTTCAATGTATTTCAATGTGATTCCTCATGGGAGGAAAAAGGGCTAAATGTTTCATTTTGTCTTAAATGAAGCCAAATATGGGACAGATAAATGCTGCAATTGTTTAGTCCAGAAGATGTTTGTGTTTGTTTCTTTAACGGGACTTAGAAAGTACTTTGTGTCAGGGATGAAAATGGGGGGAAATGGCAGCAGTTGAATATCTGTAAAAGATTGACCTGTTTTTGATAAATGTTTTAGTCACAGTAAATTGACATCATCTTTATTATGTGAATGATCTCAAGTCAAAGGCGTGGCTCGGTTCTTTTGTTACACATGAATTACAACACACCAGGATGTTTGCCACACTTGCACACACTTAAACACACACACACATTCTTATTTATCAGTGTTCTGAAAGTGCCGGTGCATTGTGCAGATGTTAAACAGAGCTGACTTCACCTCTCTGTTGGCCATTAGAGCTGCAACGATTGGACAACTTATCAATTAGTTAATTGACAGAAAATACCACAAGTAAATCAAAGAAAATCCAGTTTTCAACCTGTTAAATATGAACTTTTCTCTGTTTTGGCCATATTATAGTAAATGCGTTTTTTTGGACTGACATTTAAAAGCATTACCTTGGACTTATATATAAATAAATATATATTTATATTTATCACAATGTTCTAACAGTTTAAAGACCAAACAATCAATCTAAGAAATATCGGGCAGGTTGAAATCAGCATTTCTACCTTATATGAATGAAATAGCATAAATGTTTTTATAAACACAAGACGTTAAAGTAAAAATGTGCAATAAAGAATAACATTGAAATAAATAAGTAAAAATATTTGTATAACAAAGAGTTAAAGTAAAAATGTGCAACAAAGGATAACATTGAAATAAATAAGTACAAATATTTGTATAACAAAGAGTTAAAGTAAAAATGTGCAACAAAGGATAAAAAAATAATAAAACATGTATAAGTAAAATAGGACACATTGTACACTTTTAGTGACATCTTCAAAAATCTTATTACATCGATAATAAAAAATAAATCAAATGATTTGCATCCTGACATTATCCACCTGAGTGACTTTTCAGTGTGGAGTTTTCATGAAGGTTTTCCTGTGTTTATACAGCACCTTGCTCCCTTCCCTCACAGCTCCACCCACGGCTTTAGCAGCAGAAGTGATGGAGAGAGGCGACGCTGCCAGAGCCGCCGCCCTCCCCATCACCTTCACCTTCCTCACCTCCTTCCCTTTCGCCTCGTCCTTCCCCAGGATCCCGGCCCCCTCCGCTGCCCCCTTCCCCACCGCTGTCACCAGCTCGCACCAGAAAAGCCTCTCCACCCTTTTCCTCTCCTCCTCTTCCCTCTTCTTCTCCACCTCCGACCTCTGCTCCTCTTTCTCTTGATCAACGTTGTGTCTTCTCTCTCCAAGAATCCTCTCCTGTGCGTCCTTCACGGCCCTCTGAGCCTCCTTAAACGCATCATTGCTATAGCAACTGCCTCCATTTTTCGCCACAACCTCATCTATCTTGTTTAAAAGCTGAATTACTTGTTGTGAGCCGGTTGGGGTTTCATGTGTTTCACTATTCTCAAAAACATGATACCCCCCACAGCTGTTAACAAACTCCCACAGCTCAGGACTCTCCCCCAGGAAGTCCTCCACCCGTTTCCCTCGTAGCTGCCCCCCCCAGGTGAACAGAACCACTGTAAACATGGCGGCTCCAGGCCCAAACGTGGCCTTCACCCACTCCAACGCATCCTTCTCCTCCGGGGTGAACCTGCCGAGCTGTAAGATAAGAGAGAATATATACTTATTGATCCCAATTAGGGGCATTCTTCCATCATAGCAAAATGTAGGTAAGACATAGAAGTAAATATAAAATACACATATCAATAATGAAGGATAGAGCAGGGGTGTCAAACTCAAGGCCCAATACTTCATTTTATGTGGCCGCGCAAGAGCTTGCAAAGAATATAATACGTTCAGAATCATTATACAGTTACATGCCGCTTTACAGAAGCACACGTTGCTCATAAACTACATGTAAGTGCAGCCTTTACATGTTCATAATTTAACTGTAATGTGTATTTTCTAAGTGTACTAATTATTATTGTTGTAATGTTTCATGCGTGCAATATTTCGTCTTTTAATTTGAAGTCCAAGCTCACGTCTCGTTATGCTGTTCTCGCGTGAGTTAGAGAGCGAGAACATGAGAAGCACCCTCAAAGTATGCACGGATACTTACAGCTCCGTTAGTTTTGTATTCTTTCTTATAAATATAAGTTGTGAAGAGAACTGAAGAATACTTCCCAACGAGGTATGTTGTTGTGTTTGAATTACTTTTATGTTTATTACCTTGCTAGTTATCTCACATGCTGTGCATGTTATTGTGTGTCTAACACAAAACTATGTTTGTCATTTATACTGTTTGTTTGTGTAGTTTTCACGGTGGATTCGGAGGAATAAACCCGTAATGAGAAAGCCACTTGTGTCTGCCTGTGCTTCGAGGGAATTACACTACATGTCCTACAATGCATCTCATTTTGTGACATACACAATGCAGAGACATGCAATTATGTAATATAATACATTATTTTATATATATTTATATCGTCTTAAAGTTACAACCGGCCCTTTGAGTGCAACCATAATGCTAATGTGGCCCGCGATACATTTTGAGTTTGACACGCCTGCTATAGAGTATTGTCGGGAAAATACTGAATGTCCTCTTCCAATATGAGAGTACACATGATAACGAAGGTATCCCAACTGTAGCTGTGAACATGACAGGATGTATGACTACCTAGAAGAACATCAGGACTGTTTGAGGCATATGATAGCTATGTGATTAACATAATGATTCAGCCTCTATGGAGAGAGACATAATGACAAGCATGATCATTGTCAACCTTCCCGATTTTCGCGGGAGACTCCCGATTTCATTGCCCTCTCCCGGTTTCCTCCCGGGGTCATATTTCTCCCGCATTTCTCCCGATTTCTGACAAAATCAGATTTACTCAGGACTTTAATACAGCTACACCATTGTTTGGTTTCCATGGTAACACGTCTCTTTAGTAGCGCGCG